TCAGCCTGACCCTCACATCAAGTAGCAGAACAATTTCCATTTCCCTGTGCTCAGAGTTAGATAAGGAGATTGCTGCCTTTTTTGGTCTCCTGGAATGGTGCTTGTGTTCTGTGGACTCTGTGAACTGAGCCATGTGTAGAAGGCAGTGAGCTCTGGGTAGCATGGTTTCGTGTTATGTGTGTGTCCTGTGTGAGCTGTGGGTTCACCACCTATGCAAAAAGAGAGAAAGTCCCTTTCCTTATCAGGAGGAATTTTGGGTTACGCACCACTGAAAAAAAAGGCAAGGACCTCAAGTCAAGTTTGTCTCATAAACAGCAATGATTTAAAGGCTGAGCATGATTATGCTTTATGCTTCTCAGAGTGTACAAATACAAATTAATTAAAGGTTCCCCCAGGCTATATATCAAAACCTGTTTACCAAGATATTTCTGAGAATCTGACTGAGGAGGGAGTGCATCTGAATTCAATTCAGGAGTAAATAAGAAGTGCACATTTCAATCCTGGTATGGTCTTAAATGTGGCTTATACATTTCATCTGAGGCCAGCTCATGACCTTACCATCTGCGCTAAGGAACACATGCCACAAAGAATAAACTAGAATCTGACCTCCTTGCTCTGGGGTAGTGGTAATCTATATCTTCCTTTGCTGGGAAGTAGTTTTTTTCAATCTGTGCCTAGTTTGCTGGACCACTTCACAGCACCTCCACTCCTCTCTTACTCTCCAACGCACGGCATATAGCACGTACGAGTTGCTACTGATGTTTCCTCTGTGCCACTAGCATCAGTGACTTTACGCAGTCTCTGCTGCTGTGCAGAACAGCCCCCCAGGCAGGCTTGAGGCCAAATTAGCTGCTTGTCCACCTCCCTTGCCTGCTACTAGGCTTTGGAAGCCAGCTCGGGGCAACCCAACTGATATTCCTAAAGAGATTACGTAGGGAGCTTTTTGCTTCAGTCCCCCTTTGCATTTAACTGTTCAACCTCCCACTATCTTGTTAGCCTCTGCAGTCATAGTATTAGGAAAATGAGGTGATCATGCATCCTTGTAAAAGAGGTGTAAGTACTAGCTGCTACAGAGGAGGTGGAGTTTGTAGGATTCTGACCGAATTCAACAAGACTGTGTGGATACAGCCAATTTGATCGTGACAATCTAGAATATCATGAAGCATAGCTAAGTCTTGATTTTGGTGTTATATTCATGCCGTAAGTTAGCCAAGACTGGAGTACCCCTAGTTTCCTATAGTTAAGACACCTTATGGTGGAGAATATATACATATTTTCTGTTGTTCCACGTAATAGTGAAACTGAAGTTATAGCTCAATGTTTTAAATTAATTGCTTAAGGACATAGATGGTACAATAAACACTAAAGCAGAAGGACAAAATAGAGAATTGTACTCGACTTCCACACCCCTCCTCAACACACTGGATATTTTTATTGGAAGCAGCTAATTGTGCTGATAGAGATTTCATATTCCAGAAGGGAATGTAGTTTGGCAAAATATCCTAGCCTTCAATACAGGCAGATGATTAAAGGGTAACCTTTAAAATCCCCATAGAATAAACTGTTGAGAAACAAAACAGACACATGGAGAGAGCATCTGCAAATTCTCTGAATGTGCAGAGCTGTAGAATACCATCCAGTCTGATACCAAATAATTTTTAAGCATGGCAAAATGGTACTTATACATCTGTCATATTAAGATACAGCAAAGATTAGGTTTTCCTTCTTGTTTATGATCTCCCATAGCAGCTACTGCCCCAGTATTTATCCATTGAGCAGATCTGCAAGCAGAAGCACATGATAGACTTCAAACAAAAATGTGTGTCTTTCTGGCTCATGAGAGTCCAGACAGTGCTGCAGGTTTTTGTCTTTGCTTACTGGGAAAAATTTATTAGGAAAGCAGAAATATTCCCAGGGCTGGCAGATATTAGACTAAAACTATGCAGCATTTTCTTTAACACTGATGTCCCCTTGGCCATAAATGTTTTCTCTCCAGTGCTCATATACCTAAGCCCTGCTACTGTAAACTATGCTGGCCAAATGGACTGCAGTTATCTAGGTGAGTCATGGAAAGAAAGGTCACTAAGGTAACTGTGGCCTAGGCAACTGATATATCATGCCCAGAGTTTCATTTGGAAACAGAAATGTGTTGAAAGTCAGCAAAGAGAGGCTGTATTTTCAAGTCCTGCATGGGAAGCAGGCTACTGTGCTCTGCAAAGACAGAAGCATATGCATGCTTTCCTCCTTCAGTGTAAAATTCCGTGCAGAGCATTAGTGCAAACTAACACTTTTTTTTTTTTTTAAAACAAACACATACCGTGAACATTTAGCTGTGTGCACAGCAGATGTCAGAGAATCTGCACTACTTTGACAAATGCAAACAGATGCCTCTGTAAGGTGATAGACTACCAGCTTAGCTTTTTCTTCAAAGTATTTTCCTCTTGCTATCGGCAGCTGCTCTGTTCTCTTTGGATTTAGGATAAGTCAGCTGTTACCTATCCAAGTTCTTCTGTCTGCATCTTGAGATGATGCAATGATGATTATATAGGAGGGAAGCAAGACACAGAGCTGCATATTCTTCTTCTGTACAGGTTTTGAAGACAGATGTAGCATCATTCCCTACAAGGTCTGCATGGGTAATAAACTGTAGTGAAAAGAAGGTGGCTATCGCTGCTGTTTGAAATAATACAATCCATGCGTGCCATGCAACCAGCTCTCTGGTGGCTGCTGAAGTATTGTGCAAGGGTTCTGATACTGTGAACGGTGTGAGCATTGAATTCTCACTTTTTGCAGCTTGAAGGAGGCTGGGGCAGGACTAGTAGAGGGAAGAGGGGTGCTGGTATTTGGGCATCAGGTGATCAAGGTTCAGTTCTCATCTTTGCTACAATCTCTCTCTCTAATCTTGGAAAAATCATTTAACTTCTTTGTGATTCAATATCTGCACTATAAATTCATGCTTGTTTAAATTGTCCCTTTTATTCTGTCAGAAAATGGGGCAAGTAACATGTGACAACTAAGTATGGTAATAAGCCATTCCAGAGGTTAAGGACATCTGGTCTCTGATTTTTGTGTTTAACAAGAGATGTACTGTATAATGATGACTCCTAGTGGAATGGTGTTTTAAGTGTTGCCAAAATCAATAAAGATAACCTACATTCTGGCAGTCTCTTTTGCTTCCGCCTGGGCATTCTCATGCTGCATGCAGCAGCAAACCCTTGGTGCCCATCTCCCTTCCTCCCTCACAGTCCTTTCCCTCATCTTTAAAACTTCTAATTATATGTCTTCTAATATGTTTTAAGTTGTGCAAGGAGATGGATTTTTCCATCACAACTGAACTTGAAAAGGACTGAATTCAGAACAACTGAATTTCCTGAAAAGGAATTACAAAAGCTTTTTCAGGGAAATCATTGGTCAATGGAACTTGCACTCTTCCAAATACTGAACTGATAAATATTCAGTGTCTTGATCAGATTAGACTACCCATTTTCCCTCTCCATAAGTAAAACCACAGCAGTTGGAGAAGTCCCTCTGTTCAAGAACTAAAGGCATGTTTATAGCAAGTTGTGGCTATTTCTGTCTGCTCAGTGATTTTCCGAGGAATGATAATTTGAGTATGGAGGGATAACTGATATACTCTACCACAGTAAGGCTTTGATCACAGTCAACAGCAGTTTTGCCCAGCACTTGGATGTTTTTATTGCTGAGAAAGTGGTTGTATTTTTTGTCTGTTTTGGCAGCTCTGCCTTTCTTAAGGAGAATAATGTCCATTAGCAGTTTTAACAAGCAAAATGGGACAGGATTTTATCTGTCCACATCCAGTGTAACCCTTGTTTGTAGTATCTCACACTTTCTATCTTTTTCTCTTCATCTTCTCTCATTTTATCCCATCCTTTGATTTCTTATTCAACCTTTGGCCACTAGTTCATCCAGATCAACATCATCATTATTTTGTAGGTTTTACTAGATTTCTTCTGAGAGGATTATTCCCAAGGAAGATATTTGTTCCCTTTAAAGTCTTTTGAAGTGCTTAACTTCAATAATTATTTTCTTAATCAGTATTTTTTTTAAAAAGTCAACATTTTTCTGTCTTAGGAAAACTTTCATTTCAATAACTATGTAATCATTAAACTTCATTTTGAAAAAGTCATATAACTGCAAGGTTTTTGTTTTGTGTCAGATGTTTTCACAGTTGCTCATCTGCACACCAGGTTCTGGTGATATTGGCTCTATTCATGCAAACAAGGACTGTGGGAGCAAGCCTCCAACTGAGGAAAAAGAGAAGTTTCTATCTTCCACCTCCCTAACAATTTCCGAAATGTACATGAGATTTAAAAAATCTCAATATTTAAATGGTCTGTTCTAAGTTGAATTCCTTTTAACCAAAAAGTGCACTAAGGTTCCAAAAACCGCACATAGAGAGATAAACTTGCCACCCTTCAAGATCTGTGTTTCTGTACCAGCTGGTTTTGGTATCTCCAAAACCCAGCTAGAGTTGGGTAAGTGGCACATTCGGAGGCTGTGAAAGGTCAGTAGTGGCCCTGAAGCATGAAAGCAGATGAAGGGAGCTGGGGAAAGAGCATTGCAGCTATGGTGACTGTTACAGGGGTAAACCTCTAAGGAAGCTCACCAAGGAGCGGTTTGCACTATTGTGGGAGACTTGATTTCAGTACTTGCAGGCATAGCTGTGGCCAGTTTTATTGTCAATAATTTCTGTAATGATAGCTGTGAAGGGTATTAGGCTTTAGCATGCCTTACCAAGATGTCCAGGGAACTGAACAGCCCATGCTGAGGCCCATGGGGGACTGCCATCCATATTAGCTAATTCAAGTAAGGCTGTCTGTGCTGCAGTTGTTCCTTTTTGCTGTAGTACAAGCCTCCAAGGCAGAGAAATGGCATGGAAAGAAAAGAACTGATAGCTCTGGCCAGTGATATCCTAATGGATGTCCTACCTCTTACGTTCACGATTCCATCTAATGTGCTTTGCACACATGTTTTTGCAGATAAACCAGACCCACCTGCTGGAACACCCTGCGCATCAGACATACGGAGTTCCTCCCTCACTCTCTCGTGGTACGGTTCCTCTTATGATGGTGGAAGTGCAGTGCAGTCCTACACTGTGGAGATCTGGAACTCAGTGGATGACAAATGGACAGATCTCACTACCTGCCGCAGCACCTCTTTCAACGTGCAAGACCTGCAGGCTGACCGGGAGTACAAATTCCGTGTGCGAGCTGCTAACGTGTACGGCATCAGTGAGCCCAGTCAAGAATCTGAGCTGGTTAAAGTTGGAGAGAAACAAGAAGGTTAGTTTTTAAAAGAAAAAATCTAAATTCAATTAAGTGATATCTTAACAGCTCCCCAGTGAGATACTGCTTTGCATGTGTCTCCATGCAATGAATGCTTATACTGGCTGGAAGTGTGCTGAAGTCCCCTCATATACTGTACAGGGGTGTCTGTGTATGTCAGTTTTGCATGCATCCATTGTGGAAACTTGGCTTAAGGATCCTAAAACCCTGCCTTGTGAAAGAACCAATAATTTGACTTCTGGCTTGCTGTCTGAGTGCTGGCTGACAGACTTCTGTAGTTCAGTACACAGGTAATGGGAGACGAACCTTTCACACATGAGTTACAGATTCAGACCAGTTGGAAAATGATGTTTGGTGGCTTACCTGAAACACACGGATTCATCACGGTTTATATTGGACACACCATGGAAAAATAAGCCATAAACACTGTCCTAAATTTGCTTTTGGAAAAATTGCATGTGCTTGCTGCTAGCCAAGCACTGAATATGCAGCAGAAACGGAATTAGCCTCTCATACCTAGCTGTAGTTCCTTCCCCTGCTTCAAATCCTAGCATCGTAGAGCACCTCAGTCCGGTTGCCCCTAGTACACCAATCTTGTGAATTCAAGGCTATCCTACTTAGCACGTTGGTTTTGCAGCATTATGAGTGCTAAAAATATTTTTAGGGGTTTTGATTATAGTTGCACGTACTTGTAAAATACATTTTTCAGTATCTTTTGCCTCTTACTTTTTGCTTAAGATCTTCTCAAAGAACTAAGGAGAAGAGCTAGAGCATTATAGAAATTATTTGAAAACTGGTGCCAAAATTGTAAACACACATAAAAATCAGCATTATTTTTTAAAAACAGATATTGAATGCAATTTTTTGTGCACACCCACATCTAACTACTGTACAAGCATCACTTTGACAGTCATACCACACTGAAAAGCCCAGACCAGGAATAATGTATTTTGCCATTTTTCCTGTCTGAGGAGTGGACTGTGTGTTATACCTCTCCCTCCTTAGTTATGTATGCAAGGTTTTGGAGTTTTAAGTGCCTCACATAATCCTTGTGACGTTGTCTTATATTGCCACGCAAAGGCTAAATGCTAGCAAAGTGGTGCAGCATCACACAACTGTGTAAGCCTCTTAACAGACATTTCCAAACAAAAGTCAATCATATTTCTCTTCCAGTGCTAAATTGGATGTGTTCCGAGAATTCTCCTTCCTCTATTTTAAAGATTTAAAATCTGATCTAAATCAAGATGTAGCTTCTCTTCAAATGGTGGAAAATAACATCAAAATTTAAAAGGAAGATAGATGATATTGAATCTTCATATTAAAACTCCCTGTGTTTGAATGCCCTCTTTCTTTAGTTGCAGGACGAACACCTTTTAGAGTTGGGGACCTGGCTCTTCCCTACATTTGTTTTTCCCAGAGCAAGCACTACTTGTGGACCAAAGCAAACAAGCTGTTTTTTCTTTTTAAGACTGAGAGGTTTTTTACATAGATTTAACACAAATAGGCTAGAAAGTGTATGAATCATTGTGCTGCATGTAAAGAGCAACAACAACAACAACAAAAGTTGTTTTGAGTGAAAAGAAAATGTATTCTGTTTGCAGGGTGGTGGGTTGCCTTGCTGCTCTCAGTGCCAAGGCTTCTTGATCTCGATTCTTGATACTACAGCTAGCATGGACAAAGGACAGGTCATATAAAGTGTGCTTTTGCAAGTGTGTGTATATAACTGGCGCTTTAATTAAAGGCAGTGGAAAATGCATGTGTTCAGCACCTCACAGAGTCAGGGCTTCAAGCTGCCATCTATGTAAACACTTAGCAGGACAGCTAGGTATTTTCCATTGCTGCCAGAGAGACTGATTACTGATCTCCATACTGAGGAGGCCCATGCATATTAGTGATCTCAATATAATCTTAGTGAAGAAAGGCACAGCTAACTTTTCACTGTGCATTTAAAGAAAACAGCTACTAAAATAAGGTTGTAAATCACAACAGATTGAAGTAGTCATTGCCATGTTTGAGGAAAATTGGTACTGTTGACTCACTTCTGAGAAAGGTTTTAGCACAGCTACTCAGTGCTTACCAAGCTCAGATATATTCCTTTTATCTAATTTAGGCTTCCACTGGTGGACCAAAATGTTTCTAGTTCATGGCTTCAATGTAGTGTCGCTGCAGAACCAGGAACTGATTTCTTTGTCTAATCAGTACTTGGCAGACTAACTACTGGCAGCGTGGCTGGGCTCAGCTCCCTTATGCAGCCCTTAAAAGGGGAGGAAAATGTGATGAGCTCTATGCAAGTGTGGTTTCTAGCTGAGGAAGATCTGAGGACAGCTACTCGAGTGGGGAGGGCTCGCTTCCCTCCCTGCTCCCCTGGTAAATTGCTGCAAACCAGCTAGCCTGTGCTGGGACATGCAGGGGTTGCAAATCTGGCCAAAAGAGAGAAGAGCTTTAGTAGCAGATTATATCTACTTGATTGGCTTTGCTACCAGCATACAGATGCAGCATTATGCGTTGGATGTGAAAAGGTGATGCCATGCATCAGACCAGCTACCTGCTCACCCTGCACTGCACCCTTTCTTCTGTTTTCTTCTCATCCGCTGCCTATAACTCTGAAGCACCTAACAGCATCCAGAGTACCCCATTAATGTTTCATAACATAAATCTGTTGACACGAGATAAATCACTTGGTTAGGCTTGCACTCTATGATGGCAAACTGCAGCTTCAGCAGCTAAAGGAAGAATTGCACAGGTCACTGTGCAAATGCCTTTGCAGTTTCTCAAATTACTGGTCGTAGCCACAGGTCTAAGGTGCAAGTCCAAGCAGCATAAGTAATATATAACATTCCAGCTACAACCTCTTTCCCCTCATACCTGCAGGCAACATAGGGAACACACAAACCGGTGCTACTGACAGTTCATGCACATGGAAATTAAAAATTAAAATCAAGACACACAGGACAGTTTTTACTCTGTCTTATGCCACTGGGCTTGCCAACATCCCTGCCTGCCTTTGAATATACCTGCAGAACTGAGGCTCCATTTGGACCTCAGTGATTTCAAAATTCAGCCATGCTCAGGAAAGTGCATGCTGCCCAAATTTTCTAGTCATATTGAGTCTGAAGAATTTGTCTGGAAATTTTGCAGGAAATCTTTTCATGTATAAACTTGCTTCACTTTTGGCTTTGCAATCCCAAAAATGCACAGAAAAGCCAAAAAAAGGATTTGTCATTGAAACAGAAGTGTTGTTATAGATTTTAATATTTTTAATTCATTTTCTATTTCATTAAGGCATTCCTAAAGCTATTTATTAGATGACTTTGAATTGATTCAGTATACTGAAGTTTCTAGTAGAGAGGTAAAATAGACAAGTACTGCAAAACACATGAACTTCATTTGTTAAGAAATGTTAAATTGTTTGTTAAGAACAGATTGTGATTGTGTAGCCAATAGTCATACAGAAGTGGTGAAGAGACTTTTATTACAAAGTTAATGCACAAACTCCCTGACTGCTTTTTGCTCTTTAGCCATAGGGCCTACTAGTCGCCCGTGTTACTGTGAATCATTTGACTATTTATGTAAGTACCATATCCTATATAATAAGTTATTCGTGTCTTTTTATTTTCATTCTAGAACTTAAAGAGGATGAAGCGGAGCTCTCTGATGATGGTAAGAAGTTCATGTTTTAATCAGGTCAAATGCAAAGCTATGTTTTTAATTCATGTTTTATGGAGGTTTTAATCATGGTCCTTAATACTTATTTGTAGAAGGGAAAGAAACAGAGGTCGAGTATCGGACGGTTACTATCAACACTGAACAAAAAGTTTCAGATGTCTATAATATTGAAGAAAGACTGGGATCGTAAGTACTGTATTGTGCTTTTGAAGACACGGAGTTTTCAAGGCTACCAGTCAATTATAAAGCTCATGAGCATTCGTTCTTTGACAGTGTCTTGCACTTTCAACATTCCAGCTGGGCTCCTCTGGTGCTGTAAAAATAGATTTTAACATATGTTAGCCTCCACTCCATCAAGATCCTTTATTTCTATTAATTGATAATTTTAAATAGGCACTACATGCATTTCTGGCAAGGAAAATGGAGCCCACAAATGAATAAAGCTAGAGGACTCATTTGTTGCTCAGCATTCTAAAAGCTAGCTGAAAAAAAGGTACACATTGTGCACTTGCATTTCCATTATATCCATTAGTGGTAATAAGATTATCCTGCCCACAGGCTAGAATCTCTGTTGACAGCAGTCATAATCCCAAGAGCATTAATAGTATTGCTCAGTGAAGGTCAGTGATTAGCCTGGCTGGGTTTCTCAGTGCTCGAACTCGTGGTTATGTGAACTGTGTGCCATGATAATCTTTCAGCGATTTGTGCTGCTGGGGGTGCTGAAGGCCAGGGGATCCTGTGCACTGCCATTAATAATTCTTGAGAAGTGCATTGTAGATGTAGAATTGTGCATATACAGCCTCTAGCATTGAGATTCTGATTTGGCCTATATCCTCTACCCTATACCTGAGATGTCTCCTATCTGCTGCCCCTTCAGAGGTGTATGACCTATAGAAAACTGTGTGCAGAAAGACTTGAGTCACATGCACTAAAGCCTGGTAGGAGCCCATTTTTTGAACCCTCATATAAAACTTGCTAACTGGAACAGTGGGGTATCTCTAAATGTGGTATTCATTCAGAAGTTCTTGCAGATTACTCTGCAAGAGTATCAGTACAGAACAGTAATTGATATGAGGACATTTTTATTTCAGAACAGAGTGGTTGTGCTGGAATATTTATAAGTTAAATGTTGCTATTCATGGTGGCCCATACATTGCAAAAACATTTTATGGAAATAGTTATATATTTTCAGGGGAAAATTTGGACAAGTCTTTAGGCTTGTTGAAAAGAAGACTGGAAAAGTTTGGGCAGGAAAATTTTTCAAAGCATATTCTGCGAAGGAAAAAGAAAACATAAGAGATGAAATCAGCATCATGAACTGTCTACATCATCCAAAACTTGTCCAATGTGTAGATGCCTTTGAAGAAAAAGCCAACATCGTTATGGTCTTGGAAATGTAAGTATAAAGCGATCACGCTAACAAAGTTAATAATGTTGAAAATAATTGTGCATACAAAAGTAGCAACTTACCCAGATGTAGGACTGTCAAAAGCTTCAGGATCTACAGGGCCTGGATGGTTTTCACATCTTGCAAGTTTTTCCAATTATTTATCCAACTTGTTTGAACGGTATAAGTGGCTCTGTGTTGTATCTCTTAAATATCAGTGAAGATGTGTTTAGTTTGGTTTTTAATCAAGTACATGTGGTGTTTTTCTGCAGCTCACTCTTTTATTGACAACCTTTGGAAGGAAGAAAAAAAAAATCTGCAATTTGGGCTTGCATTTAGAACCAAAAATGTGTTTAAGGAAGAGAAGAAATATTTTTTTCTTTAGACAGTTCTAAACATGTGTTGAAGAAGCTTGTGTCAAATTTTTCTTAAGCACTGATCAGTTATCTCGTGCAGAGAACTGAATGTTGGTGCACAACAGATCGTGGGAGAGAAAGATATGCTTGAGAATGAAAACATCTAAGCTACATTCTAACAGAATAGATGAATTTCCATGAAAAATTCAGACAGGCAAATTCATAGCACCCAAGAGGTATTGGGAACACTTTAGTTTTCACCAAGTGCTACATCCAGGTTTTATATTTTTAAGAGACCTTAAAGGATTAGTCTGATGTGCTTTTTTCCCACAACAACATAAATACTCTGAATGCAAAACATTTAATTATAATAAAAGGAGTGCTACCTGAAAAATCTCCACAGGTGAACACAGTGAATGTTCTATATCTAGATCAGTAGATGCAGAAAGATTGGTTACACTGACTGTTCCCCCAAAAACCCTAATTAAACATTAATTGATCAGCCCCTAATGTCAATACACAGATTCTCCATGACAGCCCAGGTGTAGAAGTTGTAGAAGGGGATTTCTCCTTTACCTGAAAGATGTTGCACTCTTCATCCAAAGCTGTACAATTAAGTAAAGCTGAATTTGAACACAGCCTTTGTTGCTGTCTTGTTCTTGCTGAGTAAGTTAGCGACACTTATTTTTACCTCCCAGAAACTGTTTGCCTTAAGCTACGTACTCCACAACACCGTGAAAAATAGCAGAAAAGCACCATAAAATCAGTGCTGTAAAGCATCTCACAGGGCTGTGAATTAAGTATCTTTGTATTTGAAGATAGTAGATATTTACTTCCAGAAAAGAGTAGGTTCAGAACACATTCATGCACCAGAATTCATTATGAGAAAAGAATCTGCACAACATGGGATGGAAAGTAATGGTCAGACTTTAAAAACAATAAGAATGACCAACGTGGCCAATGTTTGCATCATCCAAAACACACCTGCTTAGTGTGATCCCCATACTTGTGGCAGGAGCAGCTGGAAAGAAAATGAAGTCCTGAGCCGTGCTGATGTTTTTCCCAAAAGATTACATCAGTCACTGCTCTACACGTCTACTTCATGCACTGTCTGCTGCAAGAAGGAGAAGCAGGTGTTTTGCTGGCTAGAGGTAGTGAATAAGATATAGATTGTTAGAAGCAAAAGAGACTAGATGTCTATTTAGCTCGCTTGCCACTTCCCTAGATTATGTGCAAGCTACTGTTGCACTAGCATATTTCAGAGGCTGGATCTCCATTATACAACCTATACTTATGTGCACGAAGGTGTTTTTATTTTTAGATTCAGCAGTTGAGCAAGCTGATGACAGTAATGGCAGGGAGCCCTACTTAGCCTGGAATTGGGAGCTGGCAGACCTAATGGAAAACAAGGAAATGTATAAAGAGTTTTGAATAGCAGATGGCTTTGCACTCCATTAGTTCCCCCTGCCAGCAAAGGGGTTTTACTTGTTAAAAATATAGAAAAGAACAATCAAATTTAAAGTAGTTTTGTTAACTCAACTAACTAGGATGTGCTTTCAGTTTGGGTTGGCCACCTTTTCTGGCTTTTGAACCCCCACACCGAAACTTCCATACTGCCCAGAGCCATAGGAGGAGGGATTGTTAAAGCAGCACGTAGGCAGGCAGTAGCAGGCTCTCCCTGCTCTGGAGCAGGTCTGGGCAGTGAGATGCTTGTGTGACACCTTTGTGTCAGATGACTTGGTAGCCTCTACACTGTCACATGTTACCCAGCTGACGCAGTCCCAGCATGGCAACTGCACCTTGTATTCTTAGACAGCCACTGATGGGTCATTTCTGGTTTAGCTATTAAGCTAATATTTCTTTGCATATCAAAGAAGTTGTGGGAAATACCTTCAAAAATTCTTAATATCCAAGCTGTTCTCTTTATTCCCATCAGAGTCTAAATGTGTAGATTTCAAATAAATCAAGCTCACCTGCCATCAGTCTCCTTTTAAAACAGATTTTAGCAGTGGATGGAATTTGGGAGCTCCTCCTCCATTCCAATTAGAGCTATTGATGAGGAGCACCTTTGGATTTTTTCTTCCTTGATAGTCATCCTAAATTTTTCATTTTTATTTTATTCCCATATCTTTCTTGTAACTTTTTGAACTTTGTCCTGTCTCCTTTTAATATTTGTCATGACACTATTTCATATAGTTTGATATAATATTTATAATAAATGTAGAAATCTTTATCATTGACCTAAAATCAAACACTATAAGGATTCTAATCATTTGATGTGCTCCTACCTGAAAACCCTCCCATCTACCATTTGCTGGAAGTCAGGGGCACATCTCAGACATTTCCTTTTCAAATATAGCAATGTACCTGTTTCCTAATAAGCATCTCAGTGGAAAAATAACATCTGAAAATTAGTAGCACATTGTGAATGGCATTCAGCATTGGGACCTAAATGCCTCGAAGTTTTTACATACTTTAGTTTATTTTTACGTAGATCATAAGAGGGTCATTGTATTGAAAGTTAAGATTATTAAAGCAAAATTTTAGCAGTAAACTCTGTGTTTCTCCATTCATTTGGTGTGATTTAAGTTGGTGCAAGTCACTGAGGTTTTCTCTTTGTTTTGAAGGGAGATTTATTAAAATGCAGTATTTCCCTGGGCAACTCCAAGGTAGATTCTCCTCACTGTTCCTCCATCACCAAAGCATTATAATAAAATATTTTTAAAGGTGTATTCTGTGACTCTATAGACAGCAATATTTTTGTCTGTTTCATCTAGCGAAGACTGCAAAGATGAGAATCAGAAAAGAAAGAGATGTTTAGATTCCAAACTAGTTGTGACTGTGTGAAGAAAGCCTGCCTCTCCTTCTGTCCTTCTGTGTATGCATAGAACCTAATCTGCATTGGTTCAGTCCAGCTTCCTAACTTGGCAAAAATTAACCTGGATTTGGTGCAGGATATAAATGCAAAAACATGCATTCTATAAATGCAATGACAGTTTAATCTATTGATGTCACCAGAGTGTCTAGAGGTCCCAGGGTAAAAACAGCATGTGGATGTACTAACAGCAGTTAATTTCCAAATAATATGCTAAAAAGTGGTGCTTGAGACAGTGATACGTTCTCTGAAAAATTTTTACTTTAGGATCTGAAAATTATGGCACTTTTATACTAAAAATAAGTCATCATTGTCTGTGTTAAACTGTCAAAAAACAACTCATGCTTTTTATTATTAGGATGGTTATCATTTGGAATCGCAGAGTGCTCCAGATAAACATTTCGCATTCAGATGTTTTCATAAACACCTCCAGACAGTTAATGTCTTATTGATGTAACAAAATAATAGATCCACGACTTACCAGAGCTGTTTCCTCAGCAGCTCTAGCCATATTATTGGCTTTATGTTACAAATGTGCTATAAGCCAACCTAACCTCTCAGTTTGTCGAGCACATGCTCTTCTTACTATTTTCATGTTCATAGGAAAGTGCAGTAGCATTTCTAATTATATATTTTCTGAAATCTTATAGCTAAAGCAACAGAAGTGTGCAGAACTCCGGATGTTTCCATTTCAGTTTAGTACATGAGGGATATAATCATATATCTGACAACCTGCAACATTGCAAGGACGGTTTTCAGTTGTGTATTTCCTTTCTGCAACTGAAATGTGCAATTACATTTGGCAATAAGCACAAATGCTGCAAAATATTAAGCCATATAAAGACCATGGAGCATTTAATTTAGAACAGATTTCTAAAAGCAAAGCTGCTCTTCATCATTTGCTCCTTTCTGTATGGATTATTCCCCATTGCATCTAAAAAAAGTGTTTCCCATCTTTGGATGTAAGCAGATAAACCAGTTGAGTAATTACTGTTAGTTTAAAAAACAAAACAAAACAAAACAAAGCACACCAGAATTTCAATTTTGCTTTATTAAATCTAGGTTAAAAATGTCCCACTTTAGTTCCACAAACAGTTTGATGTAGAAGATTCTACCCTGAAAAGACCAATTATTTCACATCTTAAATAAGCATGAAAAGGGAATTGACCTACAAGGAATGCAATGATGGCTCAGCTCAACTACCAGCACTGAAAGAGTTGCGGGTTATATCCTTGTCCTGTCATAGCAAAAGAGGAAATTCCCTCTGAGCTCACTTGGAACAGGAATTTACCCTTTGAGCTTTGCATTCCAATTAACCATCTCATTTGAATTCTTCCTTCTTTAGCTTTTCTTTGTCACTCTCAATCTCTCTTCACAAACTTTTGCTCATCTACTAGTTTTTTCCTCTCTTCCTGGGACCCAACCCATGTATTTTAGTTTTCCTTATTTCTGAATTGTTACATCCACTTGTGTAGTGATGGAGCACAGGAGAGAAGGAAGCAGTGAGAAACATGAGCTCATAGTCTGAAGCGTGGTTATAAACATGTCCGTGGGGTGACAATCCCATGGCGCGTGTTTTACTGCCAGCTGCAGGTGTCTGCATCCTAAAGGCAGAATGTAAATCCAGCTACATCCCTGCCGCCTGGGATAACAGCACGAGTGTTTCACAGTCCTAACCTAGGAAAGAGATTCGGAATGGAAAAAATCTATTGATTTATACTACACACAAGAGGCGATTCTTCCTACGTGATCTGTGTGTCTGTGGAAAATGCCATTACAAAACATAGATTGCGTCCTGAAGTGGCTATTGCAAGCTTGAACTATTGCATTTGTGTAAAGGAAATAGTTTGATTACTCCCAAAATGAAAATGCTACGGAAGTTCTCTTTTTATTCTGTCTTCCATAGGGTTTCTGGAGGAGAACTCTTTGAACGAATCATTGATGAAGACTTTGAACTGACAGAAAGAGAGTGCATAAAATATATGAAGCAGATTTCAGAAGGAGTTCAGTACATCCATAAGCAGGGTATTGTCCACTTGGATTTGAAGCCAGAAAATATTATGTGTGTCAACAAGACCGGTACAAGTATCAAACTCATTGACTTTGGACTTGCAAGAAGATTAGGTAATGACTTTTCTGCCTATTTCAATATGACATGGGGAAATGGGCAGGACAAGCAGTAACTTAATTCTTTCATGTATAGAGAGTAAATAGACATGTTTCCAATAAATAGTTCTTCTTTCAGGAAAAAATAGAAAAGAGAAAAAAAAGACATTCAAGAGTGAGAGTAGGGCACTTCGTCTTCAAAGGGAGTTTGCAGTAAAGCGTGTACAATCTACCTATCTGTTTCTATGGCTGGGTATCGCTGTAGATTGCAAGGTAAAATACATGGTAGTAGTAATGTTAACAAGTATTTCCATTTGCTGCAGGAAACCATGAAACACTAACTCTCTAATCGTAAAACATAGAACAAAACCTTGATCTTCATGAGTACTACAAATCCTTGAAACTTTTGTAACAGCAGGAGTTGATGTTCTAGAAGCCTTTCAGATGTGGATAACTGCATTCAATTTACATTTCCCCATTAGTTTTATCATTTCTTATGCTAACCAGCAGCATATTGTCACACATGTTAAACATAGGAGGAATTCTGTAAAGATCTGTGTTTTGATCATGCTCAAAATGACTAATAAAATAGCACTACTTCAAAATAATGCAATGAGATGGGGCGGGGGGGCGGGGGAAGGAGCTGAGATTTGTAGCTCTTCTACGATTTAATTGATTGGGACAACTCATATGAATTGCTGCTCTCTATATAAAGGGGCCCACACCTAGATTCTTAATTGTAAACTTTTGCCTTCCCTCTTTTAACAAAACTGTATTTAATACTTATTAAAAAGTAGAACAATTATTTTTTAAGAGTACAGTTTGGAATTACAACCTTCTGGGTTTGCTGTCTGCCTACATGCCGCTCGTCCTACTTCTTTTGACACTTAAGAATATAATTTTACTAAAACAAACCAAAAATGGTATGTTGAATGAACAGGGGAAAAGAAATCTGCTTTTCAGATTTTCAGATGACGTTCAACTCCAAAAGGGTATTACATGAATCTTGGTCACCTGGACACTGTGAACTCTGAGATAAGGTGTTTATTTCATTCATTAATAAAAGAGATCGCTGCCATTTATGTCCCTTCATCAATATGGAGCCAATAGTTTTCTGGGAGCATGAACTGCATTTTGTTCTTGTTGAGGAAACATATGAACAGTTAAGTATGTTCGAGTGCTGTAGTTTTTGTTATCAGAGGTGTGAGAAATACACAAGACATTCCAGCTGTCAGCCTGAAAACTATACATTTACTGCTGAACTGAGTGGATTTCAACAAGAGATGTAACAAAACCGCAGAATGGCTTTTTATAGAAATTTCTTCAACTACCTTTCTAACTTCAAACCACAATTAAACCCACATTTAGCGAAAGGAAGATCCTATTCTCAGTAGCCTGTTCATATCCAGCAGCTTGTCCATTTTTCTGTTAATCTTGTGGCACCACTGTGTATTGCACGGCTGACACTAGCTTGTGAGCTGCTACAGTCATGCCATATATAGTAAACCTCTAAAGTATATATAACTTTTTTTGATACAGAAGGATGAGAGCTATGGGCACTGACGCTGATTTTGATTTTACAATACTGCACATTCATTTAGCTTAATACGTTGATAATTCTTGCAAAGTTACATTAGAGGTATTTGCTGTTTCTATCATCTGTCTGCCGTTCTGGATAGCTCGGTGTGTGGGGCGTTTCCCTAGGAAGACACAGTGCCCTCCTGTTCCATGCCTATAAAGAAAAAGCACTGTGTTTATCATAACAATGTTCATAACATTTTGGTTGAAATGTTTTCCAAAAGCAGAAAACAATTTTTACTGTTTCATTTACTTAAAAAAAATATCAAAAAACACTTTTCACTAAGTGCCTTTATCTTGCCAATCATCACATGGTGCACTGAGGGTATGTTCCTCCACCTGTGTGCCTTCAAGCCTTGTGATTTTGAAATTGGCTGTCAAATTCACTTTGACTTTGATAGATGGGGGACTGGAGCCCTCTTACTATGGACCTGACCCTGACCGAGCAGAAACCACTCAGCCAAGGGGCTGCTGAAGGGAACAGTGGCTGATTTTGCACTTCAACTTCAGAGATTTACTTTTCACTTTTTGTAACTAGTGCAAACTAATGCTTCTAAATATTCAGTGTATTGGTCAGTTTTAAAGAAATTAGGATCAGCTCCTTCTGCAGTCATCTTCTGCAGCTAATTAGTTCTCTTACACTGTCAGGGAATACCAGCGCTGCAGTGGGATATTTTCCTGACCTTTTTTGGTGTGCTGAGGAACACATGTAGAAAATTGTTTAAGATAAACTTCTCGAGGAGAAAAGAGAATGGTTTTGAGTACTGTAAAGATTTTTTTAATCAGTTGATTATACACAGTGTCGGCAACAGTTTCCAGCTAGCTTGTCAGCTCTCTATCTGAACTAAGGGATATCCAAACACAGATCCTACTTGTGCACTAAGCTTGTAAACATCTGGGTAAAGATTTGACATATTATTGCATAGAGTAGGTCTTATTCTTTTCTTTTATACACAGAAAATGCTGTATCAGTTGTTTCACACTTTATGCTTGCACTCAAGTGCCATGTTTTCAAAAAAAAAAACATTTCCCTGACCTATGGGCAGCACATTTCATACACCAGCCTTTTGCATACACAGTCCCTCATGGTAGTTTACACAGTGCACAGAAAAGCCTCCAAACTTGGACGTGAAAATCTGAGCCCGAGATTTGGACAATCATGAAGAAGCTTTTACAAAATAGGTTCTGTGTAACAAATTTCAGTATTTTTTCATAAGGACGGTTGGACAAAATGTAGGTGCAGACCTTACAAAGAAGGCAAATGGGAAGATGGGATCTTAGTCTTCCCGTTTGTGCTTGGAAAAGGAAGGGTGATCTCACACTCCTCATTGCCACTGGAGAGAAGACATTGCCCCTGTTTTAGGCTGAGTTAGTTTAGGTTGGATATTTAAGAAAAGGATACTACCTTTTGGGGTGAGAAAACTCCAGTTATGTGAGTGTAGGGATGTTGTGGAATATTTTTGGACATGCTTGTTAAAGGCCAGTCAGACATCTGACAGGAAGGTCTTGATGCTGGTGAACTTGCAGGGGATCTGGGTGCCTTCCTGGGGCTCTGTCTCTAGAAATGAGTACTCTCTGCATGGAGGGGTCTCTGAAAGCAAGGGTAACATGTGAAAATGAGGTTTCTGCAATTAATTTACTATCACCATATCTGAGCAAAGCAAAAAGGGTTTCACAGCATTTAACATTGGGAACTGGCATGACTGTGAGTGAATTACTGTGGTAGTGCTTAAAAGTCTCCTCAAGCATGCTGTTCAATCATTACACAAGCCATTAACCCCATATATCTTCCAATTTGCATTTGATAAGTTGGGGATTTGCATACCTCAAAAGAGTACTAACTTGGGTGTATGATTACATTTTATGAAATGGCTTAACAGCTTTCAATGGAGATAATGTAGGTGAGGAGTCGGTATTGGGATCAGCATTTATGTTCCAAAACTTGGTAGAGGAAGTTCTGGTAAATAAAAATATTCTGCAAAGATTCAGTGTTGTAGACAAGTAGTTTCTATCGTAGTCTTCTCAAAACTTTGATCTGCTGTTGTCTGAGGTTTTTTAAGCTTTACTCTTGACTACAGAGCTGCAAATGTCTGTACTTGTGGTAAACTTAAGAGGAGCAGAACTGGAATGTTAGATCTGGTTTTCTTCCCATTCATATCTCTTTCAGTTAGATGCTAATCTCTTTGGGAGAGCGATGGTTCCTCACTATGTCACTCTACTGTGCCTGATCTGGATGCTACTCTTGCACAAAAGATAAACATCATGCAATAAATCTCACTTAAGGCAAATGCTGATTGCTCAGGCACATGTGCAGACTGGACAAGTTTCTCAACCTAAATCCAAGCTTGTTTCAAGTCAGAAACAATTTCTTTCCTAACATTTTTATACTTTTATAATACAAGATTTTAATGGGATTGATTTCTTTTTTTCCCCAGTCCCTAATTGATTCCTTAGTTTCCTTCCTTCCTGACCTTGCTGCTTCTTTTCTTCTTCTTCCCCTCTAGTTTAAAATGAGCATTGATGAAAATTAACCCATTGCAATTTGCCTACTGATTTCTATGTAAATGACTTGCTTTGTGTTTCACACTATGACTAAAAGTTAGACATATCACTCCTAGTTGCACCCTGGCAGCATAAAACTGGCAATGCTAGGTTCTGTGTAGGTGGTTCCTTCATCACTGTATTTTGCATTAGAGCAATACTGGTGGGTCAGCACAAGAAAGATGAAGAGCAAGTTCATGCATCCCATGACCTCATTCTTTCAGTTCATATTGCCAGCAGTAGCTTCATGGTAGATCTTTTTAAAAGCATCCACATCGCATTTAAACAGAGACAAATGTAGGACACCTGTGCTACAGGCCAGCTGAATGAAAGCCTGGGGTGGCAGCTGATGACTGTTTGTGGTCCCCCTTCACCACTTTGGAGCTCCACAGGTATGCTTGTAGGCAAGCCTGGTTTTGAGAGCAGCCTTAAACCCAGTTTTACTAACAAGGTAGTGATCTGACAGGTGCATGTCATCTGCTTCTTTTCTTGTTTCACCACTGACTTGTGCCACTTCACATTTCAGAGACATGTAACCCAGTATTGATTTTCTTTCCTGCTTAAAATATAAAAAATGTGTTAGATTAAAATACTTATTTCTTATTATTATTATGAATCTATCACTTGCTTGAGGGTGCTTAATAAATAATTATTTATCGCTATACATGTATCAGCTAAGAAAATAGCAGTTCAGGCATTATTTATTTTTTCTGATATGGATCTTTAACAAAATCACAAATATGAGGACAAAGCTGGTTTTCCTGTTACTGAGGAATAATTGTTTTTTGAAATCTCCATGCAGCAGTTAATGATTTTCTCTTTCATTCTTCACAGAAAATGCAGGTTCTCTGAAAGTTCTCTTTGGGACACCTGAGTTTGTGGCTCCAGAAGTTATAAACTATGAACCTATTGGATATGAAACAGATATGTGGAGTATAGGAGTTATCTGCTACATTTTGTGAGTACCTTTGCTATTCTTAACACAAATCCTGACAATTGCTGAATGTATGAAATTTCCATCAACTTCTGAATTCTTCTCCAATTTTCAGGCCTTTTGTATTCTATTTAGCAGCTCCAGCACGTTTACTAAAGCTTCTTTGTTCTCTGAAGGGTGTAATTGGTAAGCTGCCGAACTAGCAGTTCTGGAAGTTCAGCCACTTAGTGCTGTACATCTTAGATCATAAACCAGCAATGCTTCATCTCATTTTAAAAGACAATGTGACAGCATTTTGTTATTAACTTGAAAGTATTTTTCCTTCACAGATATTAAGAGAAGTGTTTGGACATGCACTAGTAACTGATAATTTCCATTCTTGTATCCCCAAGAGAGAAAATTTTTGTGAAATTTTGGGATCTTCTTAATCCCACTGTATACACCCTGTGGGACAGACTAAAGTAGCTCAGCATTACTGTATCTGTTCACAGTGCATTTTCATTTGTTACTAAGCACAAACCACTTGATAAATACATTTGATAAGCAGTGTGGATCAACCTCATAGAAATATTTTAGAGGACAGTTGGCTGCAACTCTTGGTTACACATTTTGGTATCTGATGTGATTTTTATATGGGATTTGATAACGTGATTATGAACTTCAATGGATCTAAAGAAATGTATATGGAAATAGCATCTCCATGCCTAGAACAGCAAGTGATCTTCTTCCAGCTGTGACTTTACACATTTGATGCCATATAAACACATGAAAAGAGAAGCTCGCTTTGGAGCATGGTTCTTTCTCCCTTGCTCCAGTTTCAATAGTAAGTAAATGGCAGATCTGCTTTGCACCCATTCTTTTAAAAGGCTTCTCTCAATACCTTACTTTCTTATTGAGGGTCTCCTCCTCCCTGGCTACTCTCTTCCTTGACACCTGGCAATACACAGTTGTTTGCCTCATCTTTGCTCAGTCTTTCAGTGATTCTGCTTGCCTTGTCTCCCTATACTTGTTCTCATATTCATTTCCAAACTAAGCAACATAATTTTCTTTCTTGTCCTGTGCAAAACCAACTACATCAACTTTCTTACCCTCAGCAAAGACTCTGAATATTTCTGTTATCTTCTGTTTCTTATGTGAAGTGTGCTGCACTCTTCAAGGTCACTTTGCTCTCCCAGTTTATTTACAGGACCTTTATTTTCCATTCATTTCCAGCATTTCTTTCTAGATCTTGAAAGCTCGTTTGGATCACTCTGTAGTTCACATAGACCACACACGCAGTACTCAGATGACAAATTCATTTATTTCTCTAGCTTTTTGAGGCCTGTTGAGTTACACAGCACTGCAGAGCGGTGCGGAGATCCCAGTGAAGACCGCTGCGGAGATCCCAGAGCGCTGCCCAGCCATGGCAAACCCCCCAGTTCCCTCAGTGCTGCATTGCCCTCTAGAGGCCTCCTACACCTTAAGGAACAAAATACGAACCGCAGCGTGACACGCACATTTGAAGGGTTTAACGTCTTCTGCTGTCTTTTTCTTATCCGAGTGTATGTGAGTTTTTGTGTGCTTGCAATATCAGCAGTGACATGTCAGCGAAACGAGGCACAAACTGGTGACAGCGGTTGTGTGTGCTCCTAAGGCACGCAACCAGGGCTGCTGCTCCAGTACAGTAGGTGCTGGAGAACACTGTCGTCCTCCAAGTAGACAAGGCAAAGGGAGCAGGTGAAACAGATGGAGAAAAGGTGAAATGTCTTGACAAAGCCCAGTCTGCTGGCAGTGGCAGAACTGCTTCCTTCCAGTTTCTGTGTGCCGCCAGAAGCAAGATATTTGGATGCTGTAACGTTCAGCTGAGGGGATTGGGTGGTGTTACGCTCGATTCAGATGACCCGATATGCCTTGTGAAATACGTTACGAAATCGCTTCTTTGCTAAGGCATCTTTAAGCTCATTTAACTCCTCATGAGGGGAAAATTACATTACCTAAATGCAATGAAAATCTTCTTTTTTGATGCACAGCTATTGCCGCAATAATGATTAACAGTAATAATCAGCTTTTGTCTTTCTTGCAATAAGAATAAAGTAATAGAAGTTAGGGAAGACCTGTGAGTCATCGCTTGGACTTCCCTCTCCACCCCAGAGTGACAGGCTCCCAATCTGTCTTCACTTCCTTAAAGCTCAGCTATTTTTGCAGACTCACAACTCTCAGCCGTTATCCAAAATGGACCGTAACATCATCGTTACAGAATGCAAATAGAAGTCATTGAGAACTGCATCTCTCTTTAGTTGTAGCTCTGCTTTCCTGTTTTGATTATAAGCTCAGAACTGCCAAATCTCACGCACAAACTGTGAGACTCACTCATTTGATGTCTGCCTCACATACCATCACTGTGCTTGTAATTTAGCATTTGCATCTCCTCTCCCCATGCCGTGGTGAGTGGGGGGCAGGTGAGTGAAGGAAGAGGTGAGCCCTGCAGCAGCACTGGACTTAAGGACAGGTCTGCTACAGGCAGCTGATGGCCCAAAGCTGCTGTGTCCATCTTATGTCCTAAGTGAAGCAGCAGGGACCATGCTATTGCATGACTTGACACCTCTTTTAAGGTAGGATTCTAGAGTGTTGAGAGACCTGTAACCTGCCTAGAAAGAGACTGTTTCCATTATGTCCTGGATAACAATGAGCACAAACCAGGTTCAGCAAAAAGCTGCTAAAGAGGTCTCGGTGGGTGAAGGGTCTTCCCTGAAGAAGAATAAATGGGTGGGATGTAATCTGAAGTAGGAAACAGGATGACAGCACTCCTCCGAAACCCTGCAGCAGAACCTCTCTCCTAGCCTTCTGCTTTACAGGCGTAACTGCAGATATCGCACTGTCTGTTGGGATGCTGCATCTGTCTTCCATACAGCACAGCTGACTTAATTCCACCCCACAGCTCATGGGTTCCCTTTCCACATTTCTAAGCTATGTATTAAATCCTTTTAATCTTTCTGGATAACTTATTCAGTCCTGTCTCTTCATCAGTCTTTATTCTTCCTTAAATTTCCCTGTTTGTCTTCTCCACCTCATGTTTTTTATCTTCCACTTTTATCGTGTTCTCTGTCCTGTTCTGCATCACAGTACAGTCCCACATACTTAAGTTGATCTATTGCCTTTGAAGTAACAGGCCACAAATATTACAGCTTGTGTATATCATCTCCATTTATGTCTATTTCAGTGTTTCTTTTTGCATTTATAATAATCTTTATCTAACGAAGGTTAAATTCTTTCCAGCTCTGCCTGTCCCCTTTATTCTTCCAGGCATTGCTGAATTTTGTTGTTTTTTCTAGTTCTAGATCTTTTTGACGATCAGTGTTTCCAATATTTAGTAATCTGAAACAATTTTTAAATTCTGTTTTTATTTCAAACCAAATCTCATTCTAAGGTTTCAGCGCTGCATGTTTGTACATTGAAGGTGGATAGCCCTTTTCCTTCTGTCACTATGGAATCTGACAAGTTTCAGTGAGGAACTGGTTGTGGCTGATTCAAACCCCTGCTTGCTTTCCATAAGTTCTTCTTGCTTTATCTGTGCCAGGAAATGTGTATCTTTTCAGAGTAGTTGATCTCTGTCAATTAATAATTTTTAGTGTGCTATATCTTGGGCTGTTTTTTAATATCATATTTGATCTTGCTGTATACTCTTTTCCTTCATCACCCTCTAATAACACGCACCCTGATTCTTCAAACATTCCCTTTCCTTTTTATCTGTTGTGTTATTCCTCACTGCTGTTATTCCTCCCTTGGCAGTCTGGGTTGGTTGAAGGATCTTTCGGCATTGTTCATCTTTGGGAGCGCTGACTTGGGACTTTGATAAGGCGAGACATTCACGCTGCTGGCCTACGCTTGGCACCGTGTCATATTAAAAATTTAAGCCTCGTTAATATAAAGATGAAAGAGCACTCCTTGTTCTTTCAGTAAAGGAAGTCAGGAGGGCTTGAATGTCATGACTGTACTGCTCAAAAGAAAATTATTTGTTCAGTGGCACTGGCAAATTGTGATTCCTCATTAAGCCACTGGGCACATAAAACAAGGATGAGAACCGAGTAACACCCTTGCTTCAGCACTGAGCTGTTTCATGTACGTGGGGTCAGTGGCCTGTTTCTTCCTTGAGACGACTGGTGTGGGAGTCAGTCAGCCCTCACAGCTAAGGAAAAGGTGGGTTTGCCCAGTGGATGCGTGTCCCCCACAAAGCAGACTGAGATCATTTATTTGTTGTATTTCACTTGTAAAAGAACTGAGTTACTGCATGATCTCCAGGGTGCAAGCATTATCACGTGCTTATTTGACATGACCTGCAGAGGTTTATCAGAAGCAGATAGTATTCTTCATACTGAAATCTGTTACTCTTTTCCACTGCTAGTGCAATGCAGTGACTGTAAGGAGGAGCTCCGTGTCACCAGCCCAGTCAGTTGCTGCTGCAAGCACTGCTTGCAGACGAATGCTCAGAGTCTGAATTTTGAGACACTCAGCAAACTCATCTTTCCTGGATTAGCAGCAGTCTTAATTCAGAGATCTCCAAGTGAAATTCAACGGTGTTTGCTGCATAGGCAGTCAGACTGGCGACCACATTGGACCCTTTTGATCTTAACATTTATAAATCTGCACTCAGAGCTCTGTTAGAACAGACCAATAAATGTTAAGGAACTTCCAGAGGATAAAATATCTTTCTTCTTTATTTAGAAGTGGAAACTGTGAAAGATTTTCTAAACAAATGGTTCTTAACATGCCAGGAAGATGCCTGGTTAAGTAGCTGGAAAAATGTTTTCAGTAAACAACTTGCTGCTTGCCTAATAGTAACTTTGCAGTGTAAGCCCAGTGTTAATTTCCTGGAGCAGTAGCTCATCTTTATCACTTAGCTTCAGCATTCCAAAAAGAAATTGTTTCCATCATCTGTCAAAAGAGTTGCTGGGCCATTATTACTTTAAATGGCCATTAAGAAATGAACAACCAAGACTTAGGTTCAATGAAATCTGTGCTAAAGATAAGAATTTCGGGTTATAATCTGCATTAGTTGCTGGATTTTGTTTTCTGAGTATAGACAAGGATCTAGTTGTCCTTACAAGTATTTCCATGACAAGACAACTTATTTGCAGTGTAAAACTGCGGTAGAGAGAGCAAATTATTTTAGCCTTATACATTTGCAGCAGCACATTCAGCAATACAAAAATACGTTCGTTGAAACGTTTGAATGGGTACAGTTACGCTGGTGTTTGGAAATGACAAAGGGAGTGGAGGCTTAACTGGTACCCATCTGGTAATTTACTGAACGCACAGGACGGATCAATCCTACCACAGCATTTAAGATTTTATCCGATAATTCTGTCATGCAATTCTTAAAAAAACAGCCAACCAAATAAACAAAAACCCCAACCAAAACAAATAAAGATTTTTTCCCCTCTCTAATTGCCTTCTATTTATCCTCATCCTCAAAAGCCGTGTGTGACATGCCGTAACCCTTTGCCCAGAGAGCTAGATGTCTTTATAAGCACTGCCTCTTACGGTTTCCACATGAAGCAATGTCTGTATCTGCTCATCCTCAAAAGCCGTGTGTGACATGCCGTAACCCTTTGCCCAGAGAGCTAGATGTCTTTATAAGCACTGCCTCTTACGGCAGCGCAGAGCAGAGGTGTTTCCACATGAAGCAATGCCTGTATCTGTAGCAGTCTTTTTAGCATGGAAATGATCTCTCAATACTGCAGCTTGAATCTCTGGAACTAGGCCAAAATATTATCTAAAGTAGCACAAGAGCTGCACAATACTATTTGTGGTAATACTGCGCAGAGGTCACCTTTGCCGTACCTTGATCAGGTATTGAAAGGAAATGGGATTGTTACTGCTCTGCCTGCCCAAGTGTGTCCTCTGGAAGCTTAACTGGATGAGAAGACGTGCACCTCCTATATTGACAGTGAACTGAAGAAATACTTCACAGACCCTTCATTTGTACAAAATGTGAGCCTTTTTAGCAGATGCTGAATTGGCTGAGTGATTACTGTATTTACTACATCGTCAAAAAAGAGATAACTTAGCAATCAGTCTCTAGAACCCAGAACTTATAGCTGCAGTCTGGATGAGATTTTTTCACTTTCTAAAACATACCGAGAATGATGACATTGTAATAAATAGGAAAATGCTTCAATATTGGAGTGGCAATAGATTTAAGGCCCTGCAGGAGTGCTTTGTGATTTCCAGGACAGAGATTTTGTTTCAGTGACTTACCTGGCCGTGACGGCGGGTGTGTGTGAGGGCAGAACAGTCCCTCGTTGTGCAGCAACTACACCAGCTCTCCAGGGCTACCAGGCACAAACCTTGTCTCTTCCAGTAAAGTGAGTGCAAAGATAGAAAACAGTCATGGTAAAGTTGTGTTTTATGTGAGCCTTTTTGGTATGTTAATCTTTCAGCTTTCTGTAACTCATGCCTGTTATATGTTCATAAATGAGTTTCTGCCACCTTATACATTTATAAAGTCATGCTTCACTGTCGCATTTGAATGCACCCCATATAATGGAAAGTAAGACAGCAAATACCTTCTGTTCTGATTTACCTCTTTCTGCCTGAGAAAAAAACAAACCTTTTATCTTCATGTCATGTATTATTACTAGAAAATTTCTGAAGTATACACTAAGATTCTAGACTCTGCTGTACTGCGCATAACTTCCTGAAATGGTAAAAGATTTAGTATCTACTTTGAGGCTTCAAAGCGTGTGTGTTTCTACTTTGCTTATAGAAATAAAATCCTTAGGAACAAATTCCAGAACAGATTTTGAATGTAATTAGTGACAAAAGACTAGCAAAATAACTTTGGAGGAGGAGATTATACTAATATTATTAATCTAGTAGCTCCCTTATTTCATCTCAATCTCTTTTTCTACCAGTCTATCCTATGACATTCAGTAGCATCATGATATTCATATAGTATTATATCCATATAGTATTTTCAGAACCCTAGTAAGTGCCACTTATTTTTCCATATTTAAAAAAAAAATGTACTACTCTTTAAATGTAATTGGTTGTTGTAGCTGGTTAACATGATTGTACAGAGAAAGCAAATAAAGTCTGTAACATTTCATGAAGAGTAGGTTATTATGTAAATTGCCTGCCAGGTAGAAGACCTGGAAAACTGCACAACTTGTCGTTCTAAGGAACAAGCAACCTTTCATCTGAAAGTTTTTATTGAAAGGTGATATATACACTGATCAAAAGTATCTGGATACACAAAGGTACGGTATAATAAAGGACAACGCCCAACTGGAGAAAGATACTCTGCAAAAATGACACCATGATGTTCTGCAATTGCCTCTCACTGGCAACTTATCAGCTATATTGAGTAAAAAGCTTTGCAAGCTCAGCGTACGTTATAAAGGAGTAATATTTCCATTTCATGCATCATCATGACTGATTGAAAACATAAAGACAAAATTACTTTTGGATGCATCTGCATAACTCTGCAGCCTGCAGTGATGTAGCACTGTTTTATCTGCCTGTATAACTCACAGTGGCTTTGTTTACACAATAGCCCTGTGGATTTCATGATTTCATGATGCATCTTTCTTCTTGGGCTCTCTCTGCAGGAGGAAATGGAATAAAATGTAGAAAAAAAACTTGGTTTGATTGTAAAGACAGCAAAGTCACTCTGACAGCACCAGGGGGAAAAAAAAAACTTGGTTTGATTGTAAAGACAGCAAAGTCACTCTGAAAGCACCAGGAGGAAAAAAAAAAAAAAAAGCTATTCAACCGAATTTGTGTGCAAAATGCAGTATTATTTATGCAGAGCTAGATAAGTCATGCTCAACTTTCACCTCATTCTAGTTCTCTCTCTCATGTCTTGGGAAAAGAGAAACAAACAGCAAAAAGTTTCCTTTCGGTTTTGCAGTCAAGATTCTTTCCCATAAGACTATCTGTAGTTAGATTTGAGCTCTTTTTTTTTTTCTTTTTTTTTTAAGGGAGCTTTTACTGATAAAGATCTGAAGAGCATAGGAGATGTCACACACAATTTTAATTTGCTCCTCTGATAATTTGCAAATTGACGCTGTTTGTTTTGTGTCTGTCTGTCTATCCTAACCCTAGGGTCAGCGGACTTTCTCCTTTCATGGGAGACAACGACAATGAAACTCTAGCCAATGTTACCTCAGCAACGTGGGACTTCGATGATGAGGCTTTTGATGAAATCTCTGACGATGCCAAGGACTTTATCAGCAATCTACTAAAGAAAGACATGAAGTAAAGATGTTGGACTTGATGCAGTTTCTATGTTTGCATTGAGCTGAACCTGTTGTGCTTGTTTCCCCACTGTGGATCCCCACATCCACGCAGGCCCCTCTGGCAGGAGCTCTGTGTGCCTGGCTGGCTGTGTGCGGCTCTCCTTTATTTTACGGTGCAGGGTCTGAATGGAGCACTTTCTTCTAATCACGTGCTATTCTGCTTTCCCCTTCCCTTGGCCACGCTGCAGCCTGAGGTTTTGTGTGGCTACTCGTCTTCACTGTAGTGTGACACAGGTTCCTGCATGACATGTTCTGTCTTGATCTGAATGGGCTGCAATTTTGCTATGCTTATTTCCATGTGTTGCTTTTAAGTGTGGTACCTCTGAGCAGGCAGCTTTCCTAGAAACATAGCAATTGGGCAAGAAAAAAACAAATCAGAGTTGGAGCCCTGGTTACAGCAGAGTCTGAACAAACCAAAGAAACAAAACTTACTTCTTCCAATGAGTTTGCAATAGGATGGATGGAGAACAGAGGGTTACTTATCCATGTACTACAAACAAAGTAAAGAATAGGTGTGGCTTGATTAGAGGTTTGGACACTTCTGTTTGTTAAACGTTCAGTGCTGCAGGGAAGGAGGCTATTAAGTGGTGGGAAAGGAAATCTCTGCAAGTGACAGAAAGGAAATCTGGGACAAGGTTCTGCCAGCATGAGGTAGCTGAATCATTGTCATTGTGGCTCTGTTTTATGTGTTCCATGCCTAAAACATATGGCTTTTCATGTTTTATTTTATAATGTTTTATTAACACTTTAAAATGCACAGTTTTATCTCAAAAAAAACCCAACAGAAATTGTGAAAGTGAGTTTAAGAAGAAAGCACAGCTGGAGAAGCAGTGCCACGTGATCTAGGTTGCTAAATTTAGGAAACAAAAATCAGTTCTCGGAAAAGAGAGTACAAAATATTGTTAAAGTAGGTAGGTTCAACCATCATTAATGGCAACACTGACTCGTCTTTTTATATAACAACAGGAGTCGCTTAAATTGTACTCAATGTCTTCAGCATCCTTGGCTGCAAAAAGATACCAAAAACATGGAAGCAAAAAAACTTTCCAAAGATAGGATGAAGAAATATATGGCCAGAAGAAAATGGCAGGTAATGAAGAGGACATAGAATCGGGCTAGTTATCCTAATAAAACTCTTTATTTCTAATGTTTATGATTCTGAGAAACATGTCACGCCAGGTGGTTTCTGCTGCTGGTGGAAACTCCAGTGTGGCCAGTGTATGAATGCAGCAAAGCAGGTTTGGTTTCTACAGGCAAGCAGCAGGATGGTGCACAGCTGCATATATATAACGTGGTGATTCCATTTCAGACTACTAAAAGGCGTATGTTCAAGCATAGCTTTTCCTATTCTTTTGGGGGTATGACCATCTCTCCTCCCTGCCCTCTGCATGTCACTGAGGGCTGGAGGATTATGTTATGCTGAACAAACCTGGGCAGCTTTGCTGCCTGGCCTCTCCTAAGCCACCTCATTTTGTGGTGGTTTCATTCTCCTAAGCCAGCAGTTCTGTCCTGTTGGAGCACCAAGCTTCTCATGGATTCAGTCAGATTGGTTTAATAATTTTCTTTGATGTATTTGGTCTCCACATCTTCTTTTTTCTTAATGCTGGAATTGTGGTAGTAGGTCCATCTGTGCTGTTCTGATAGCTAGGGGAGTTGATGTATAAAATCCTGGATCCAGCCTTTTGAGTAGCCTACAAAATATTCATTTATGTAAATCTACCTTGCATTTCCTCTTACATTCTACTGTACGTGTTTCTTAGGAGCTCATGCAAGCTGTACAAAAATACAAGTGTCTGTACTAGAGGCAACATAGTTTGAGCATGTTTTAGTATCCCGGTGGTTGATTCTCGAGCCTGTCAGAGGGCTGCTTTCATCGTGCAGATGGTACTTTCTCATTCATTTCCTATTAGCTGGTTATTAATCCTTAGTGAAACTCAGTCCAGCCCACATGGCTATTCAGAGAGCCGTCCTCCACCAGAGTTCCAGTAAAACACGACATAGCTTTTTCGCTGGCCCTCCTCTCGCACAGTGCTTTTTATCCGCAGCTAACAGAGACATTCATTTAGGTATGAGTTCATCAGGGGAAGTTTATATCTGCAACTAAATTTGGTAATTCAGACCAGCCTGCTCTGTCTCTCCTAAAACAACAGAGCTATATATAAGCAGTTTGTCCAACAATTCCAGTGAGGTTTGCGGAGATCCCAGATAATTTGTCCGAAGCACAATTGTTACAGAAAATCACATGCCGTTTGGATTGGATTGATCAGAAGCCTTTTATGTTATGTCTTAGAAAACAGGCCATGCTGTCCGAGCAATAGGAAGACTGTCATCCATGGCAATGATTTCTGGTATGAGTGGGAGGAAGGCCTCTGGGAGCTCGCCGACCAGCCCTATAAATGCAGACAAAGTAGAGAATGAAGGTAAGGAATTCTGCTGCACCGTATTTTTACCTCTCTGTGAATCAATCTTACTAAAACTTTTAGCAAAATGATAGAGACCAATAACCGAGTTGGTTATTCCTGCTCTCTCTCTCTGTTTTTAATTTTTTTTTAATAAATCTATCAAAAATTCATTGTTCTCATATTGTTCTGCTTCTCAAAATGCCCCAGTATAAGTACGGGCAGTAAACTTTTCTCTTTATAAAGCCAAAGTATTAAGGCAGATTTGTCAGCTGCGCTATCAGTTTGGGAATGCATGTTTATACAAAGATTACAGTGATGTATTGCCTTCTGATGCAAGCGAGCAAGCACTAAAGTATTAACACTTGCTGTAACCAAGACATGTACAGCATTAACCATGCTCCTCAGACAGGGGCATTTAAGAACAAAAATAACGTGCCTACATTGTTCCCCTACGTCCCCATTTGAAATGCAGATTTGTGGTGTGTAAGAGGCAGAGGTGCAGACCTTTGACACTTCTGAAAATCAAACAAGTCATTCTGACATATCCACATACCACGGGCCTGATACAGGTTGAACTGGTTTACCCCTGACTAGCAAGAATCCAGGTTCGGTTAGATTAGAAACAAACTCAAGGAAAAAATTAATGATTTGCAGTGTGGTGGCGTGCATGCTGATTTAATTCTATTTATGGTCTGAATCTTCATCCAGCTGCAGAAGACTGGCACAAAACTAAGCAGCTAACGTCCTCACTGTCCCATTAGCCTTACAGAATTAAGTGAAATAAAAGATGCTTTCACTACCATCTGGTAATTCAAAATTGAAGTGCATCTTTTGAGAACATGTCCTGTAAAATAATTAACTATCTCTTCGCTCACCTCCAGATGCCTTCCTTGAAGAAGTGGCTGAAGAAAAGCCCCATGTAAAGCCATATTTTACTAAAACAATCCTTGACATGGAGGTTGTGGAAGGAAGTGCTGCTAGGTTTGACTGCAAAATTGAAGGTACTTTGAATTAGCATATCTCTTTCTTTCTTTCTTTCTTTCTTTCCTTACCAGCCTTCTGCATTGTGCTGTTGTTTAACGTTTTATTTTTTTTTTCTGTATTATTGTTGAGTTGGTGCCATTTTGCTTTACCAATATCTGCATGTCACAGCATGAATGTGTTGCAATAACAGAAATTATCTGGAGCTGCATGGGCTTGTTCTGTGCTTGCCATAGAACAGAAGTCTCCAGGAGTCAATGTGTGACCACTAATTCAGTATTGCAAGTGGGAACAGTAAGATGATTTTTGAGGGTAGAAACAGTAAAAACAAGATGCAATGTAGTACCACAAATTGCAAGAGCACACTCTTAGAGACTGTTAACCAGAAACCAGGAATAAGTACAAAGTCACTTGTCTGAAATGACAGACAAGTTTCAAGTGACCTCAAGATAACTTTAAGCCGTACATACATTGTGTTAGAGGCAAAGTCCCTAGCAGTGTATTGGTAGGAGAAGTAATGGTAAACCATAGTGCTGGTTACAAAAGTCACATCTAGAAAATACTGTAGTTTGGTTTTTTTTAACTTACAAGTTCAAGAAAGAAAACTCAGACTGGAATATGCAGATAGAAAGAATAACTTTATTGAGAAGGCACCTAAGGAGCTTGGCCTGGTCAGCCGAACAGTCTGAAGGCCAAGCCCGCTAGCACTGCTATTGCAATGAGATTGAAGCTTCTGTATCACAGCTGCTCCTGCAAGCTAGAAATTAGGAAGAGAAGAGGTGTTAAAACAAAATGGATGGTTGGTACCATACTGCATGCCTTTAAGTTAGACAATTTCTAATCTTAAAATGAGCTTCAGAAACTGCCTCACTGACCTTCTGCTTGTTTGTTTCTGTGCTTCTAATCTCTCTCACTGCCTGTGTTTCCTACCTCACAGCGGAGATGTGAGGATGGATTATTGTTGCTGATGAAGCTCAGCCTGAGGGGTACGTGCATAAGTACTGCATGGAATAAAATAAATGGATGTACCATGGCTGATGTTCCAAGCTTTCCAATGAATCACTGTAACGCTTGCCGTGCATTAGGTCACTTTATTTCTGCTCAGTGGGAGGTCATCCTCCCATCACAGCCCAGAACTTGGCTGAGACAAGCTTTCAAATTGTTATAGCAGCCAAGAGTACTGTATAAGGGATTGTTCTCCAGCACGCGCTGTACAGCCCTGCTCTGCACGCTTCGAGTGTGGCAGAGCCATTTGCTTTACAAAAGGCTTCGAAACTCCTGTTGAAATGCATAATCAAAATGCTTTTCTTAGACTCCCCTGCTTATCCTAACAAGCAGAAATAGGAAATGGGAGTGCCGCAGTCACGCACAGGACACGCTGGTGTGTATGGAGCAGATTAGGAGGAGGAAGATTCCCAATAGCCACAACAAAGCAACCTGAGAAAGATATTAAATTGTAGTTGCAGCACAGAACACTTTACCCTTGAAATTCTAAATCTCAGTGTTGGGAACTGTGGGTTCCACAAAAGCTGACGAAAGTAAGCTTCACATACTGCCATTAAGAGTCCCTCGCTGGCTGATGTCCAAGACACACACAGAGCTGTCTGCAGTCTCTGCAACACCAGTGGAAAGTGGAATCTAGCAAGTACCTCAGTGCTAACTTTCCATTTTTTTGCTATTCATAATAAAGTTGTTTCAGGTAAAGGTGAAGTAAAAAAGCCTCTGATCATCTACATTTATTTTAAATAGAATTCAATTAAATATTTGTATATCAACATATTGGCATGTCCATACACAGATGTCGATTTAAAGTAATTACAGATTAGTTAATACTCGTTTATTGCAAGTGCTGTTCTCTCTCCACTGTCGCAGGCTATCCTGATCCTGAGGTCATGTGGTACAAAGATGATCAGCCTGTCAAGGAGTCCCGTCACTTCCAGATAGATTATGATGAGGAGGGGAACTGTTCTTTGACTATTTCTGAAGTATGTGGGGACGATGATGCCAAATACACCTGCAAAGCTGTTAACAGCCTTGGGGAAGCCACGTGCACCGCAGAACTCCTTGTGGAAACAATGGCAAAAGAAGGAGAAGAGGAAGATGAGGAGGAGGAAGAATGAAACAAGGCTCAAAGAAAAAAAAATTGAAAAAAGTATATTTAAAGACTCTCCTTATAAGGCTCAGAAAAACAAGTTATCAAAAGCACCTTGTGTGATACATAGGTCTTTGGGGGGTTGTTTTTTCAGCATGATCAGTTGATACCTGTTTGCTTTACACATGGGCATTAATTCAAATCAGCGGGCAATTTTCAGTTGCTAGCATGATTGGATTTACTTTAAGCAAGTCATCAACTAAGTTGCCCAGCCTAGTTTTAAAATCAAATGTATGGAAAACAAGTCTACAGTTAATATTATGAACTTCTTAAATAAAACCAGTCTATTTTCTGAGCTCATTGCTCTATACCATCACTTTCCTCAGACAAAACTGCAGCGAAGTTGGCTCCCCAAGATCTGCTTTCCAAGGAATTGTTTGCCAGACACACAGTGAATCTCTTAGGCTGCTCCCTGGGCAGTATCTTCTATAAGGGAAGGTCTGACACAGACAGCATTGCAATTTGTATGTTGGTGTGGTTCATTTTTTGTTTGTTTTAAACAGAAATTCACAGTCCTAACTTCCAACTACTGCCCTTTCTCAGTGCTCTGTTAGTGCTGTTGCAATCCCAGCTGAAGTTAAACACCCAGGTGGTTGTCTAAGATACTTCTGACCTTGCTTTTAACCACCTGATCACACCTTGTCACCCTTCCCTTATAGAGCCTGTCACCTCAATGCAGTTACAGCTGCCTACTTAAGAAACAGACTGAAAATACAAAGACTGAGAATATTTTATGTCGTTCTGGTCAGTCTAATAATGACTTATGATTCATGTATATGCTGCTGTGAAAAAAAAAAAAACAGGTTATTGCACAATCTGTGACTTCTGTGTGCATGTATGCAAATGGAATCCCAGGTTAGTTGAAGTTTTACTTGCATTTATTTGGCAATTGCAAAACAGATTTCAACTGATGATAAGCTGGAAACTCCCACAGATTTTTGGAGTAGCCAAAAAGATAGTAGCCTGGATTACAAACTCCTTTATACTTAGCAGTTTCCAAAGAATCTTAACCTATATAGGACCTATTTCTATCTTATGAGCTTGACTGTCTTGTTTTTGTCCTGAATCTGCACCAGTAAGGCTGTTGCATTTTTTTTAAATGCAGAAAAACAAAACAAAGCAAAAAAATCCAAAACCCTTTTTTTTTTTTTCCTCAGAAATGATTAATGCACTCAGACTTAGTAACTTTGCTTTCCTTTCACAGTATTGGCACTTTTAATTTTTTTTTTTGTTGCTCAGAGGTAATATCAGAGGCTGCAAGGTGATATGCATAATGCAAAACCAGTGTGTCTTATCTCTATGTATCATTCCAAAAGTGATTCTTTTTCTTTTCCACTTCTTGTGTGTAAAGTGCAACCATTTGCATTTCAAAGGTTACCTCTTTAAAAAAAAACATTACCTTAAATCCTCACCATTAAGTAGTCAGTGTACTTTAGTACAGGTGTGTACAATATCAACCTTAGGTTGTTTGATATTACCTAGTTGTGTATGTGTTTCATATGATTTGCTCTTCTGCATTCAAAGCTCAACTAATGTGGATGACACCGTGGTTTTTAACTGCTTTACTCTTTGTTGCTGAGTTCAGATTGCCAGCATGTCTTTTCCTCTTCAATTGATAAAAACCTCTTGTTATACTAAACACAGTATTGCCACAATTCCTTATGCAGAAAGGTTTTGAATCTGATTTAGAGCATACAGAGCTTTTCTCACGTTTTTTCTTTTAAATGTTTTAGGCAACAACGGGGTGTATTTTATACCTTAATAAAAATATGCTGATGTTCTCCCAGTTTGTTAAACCATCAGAATTGCAAAGATGAGAACGCTACGGCTGTAGTTACTCACAGTTCCTAAATAAATAATACCACAAAGCACGCTCCTTGTATACTCTATTGCAGGCGTCACCGCGTTCACGTTGGCTAAGCGTATGAGTAGCAGCAGTCTTCTCCCATTCTGTCCTGAGACCCGCTTGGCACAAAAATGGATGAGGTGGCAACAGTGAAACCTCAATCTTTGTGGTGCTGCTGCACTTCTCCTACCCTGTCAGCGCTGTGCGGGGGCTGCTCGGCCCGAATGCTATCAGGACAGCCTGGGGCTGGCAGCGGTTGTAGTAGCTGTGTGCTCTGCCACAGGTCTGAGCCTCATGGCAACCTTCACAATGAACAGAAGTGTCAGCGTGGATGGGGCACCGCGACAGCAGGGGTTTTCTTTTACAGCTGAGAGTTCCCTTACGGTGGGGGAAATGTATAGTTCAGAAAGACTGTAAAAGCAAGAGAGAAAAAATTCTGGGAAGTCTAAATGTACATGTGTACTTATAACAACATTCCTAGAAACTGTAAAGATGAAGACATTTAGCAAATACGCTCGCGCTGCCTTTCAGACTACTTTAACGTGCAGTCCAAGACACCATGGACCGTGGAGGACCATGCAAACTTCCTAAAGCAAAGACTGTGAAACATCCTGCTTGTAGCAACATGTTTCTCGAGCAAATCTTCAGCCCTTGAAACAGTCATCTTTGCAAGATGTGCTCGGCTGTCCTGTGAACGTACCTAACACTACTCACCAACTGCTGGTTTCCATTCAGGCAGGCACATGCATAAAGCAGGAACAGGTCAGGCTCTGATGGCCTGGTGTGTGGGCACGGCAAAGTCTGTGGGTACACACACCGAGTACCGACACCCACAGACTCAGTGCTGGTGTTCCTGCACAGATTTTCCCTTCGCTCTCCTCCCTTACTAGTCCATCAGTGTCCCACAGGTTATAAACTGCCTATTTTTATTTTTCCGCAAGGATATAACTAGTTTACAATCTCCCTGTTGCCTCCTATTAACATCCCTTCTAGTCTGCAGGAAACACCTCTACTTAAAAAATTATGTCATACATATATCTAATTCAGCTCTGAGCAATTGACTCCAACCTGTATTTGACCTTCAATTTTTTTGTTTGAAGAAAAGAAGAAAGATTATTCTGCTTCCACTGAAGAATAACATTTTATGTTCTTGAAATCCTGTTAAATTTTGCCAGCCATCCTAACTGGTCTAATAAAAGGTATTACCTCTCCTATAAACCTTGTCTTGCTTGTGTAATGTTTGCAGAGAGCCGCTCTTGGGGTATGGCAGGGCTGAAACAATCCCCAACAGCAGAGGTTATACAAGACATTGGTACTGCCCACAATGGATCACTTAATTCTTCCTGTAATTTTTTTGTATAAAATTCAGTCCTCCCAAGAGATGTGGAAAATTTGACACTGGCCACTGGTTCTCACTACGCAGGTTTCTGGATTTGCAAAAACTTAATTCACTTAATCACCGGCCTGTGTCCAACCACCCAAGCATCCCGTGCATATTTCTGGCTGATGAAGAGACCTTTGGTAATTGTATGTGTGGCAAGTGAAGACTTCTCTTTCGCTGCTTCTCTTTGCTCACAAGGAAAACAGCACAGGACTCACAGCCCTCTCCTCTGTAGTGAGTTTCAGGCTTTGAAAACACAGAACATTTATTTGTTGCATAGATGAATAAGGAATGATCTTTTTCTCTAAAATTTCTTGGCATATTTATTGGAACATTGCACCGGAACAGTGCTGTTTGAAAATTAAATTCTCATAGATTGCCTTTGACTTTTGAGCCCTGTTGACTGCAGAAGATGTGCACGTAACACCCTGTAAATACTTGGGCAAAAACAGAATTTGCTGGGAGGGGGAGAGGTTTGTGCTGTTATTCTGCTCATAAAGGAACGGCATCATAACCAGCATGAAAAATAAACTGAGAATTGTTTCCGAAAGTAACTCCACAGAATATTTACAACTTCTGTATGAAAGTAAGATTTTATTTCAGCCTTTCACTGTAACTGTCTGAAACTGTAGTTCTTGCTGTATTTCCCCTGAAGCCAGCGCTTGAGCCTGTGTTGCTACGGAAGGTACCGCACACAACTTCGGCACACCACCAGTTACAGCTCCAGCAGCTGAGGAAACTTCAAAAGGGATGAAAACCTACTAAATGTTCCTAAAATAACCTGAACTTGAAAACGAAGGCTATTAATTTCTCTAAGGAACTGACCGACCCATTTCTCGCTGCAGGGGCCAGGCCGCAGCGGGGCATTTCCGACCCCATTTCACGGGTGACCGACAGGCCCGCTCCTCACCGGC